ACATTGAAGTAAATTTTCTTTAAAATTTCGATTTTCATATTTACAACTCCTTACTTCTAAATGTCTCAATTGTCACACAAGTATTTAATTTTTTCCTGGTACTGAAAACTATTAAACGTAAATTAAAATAAAAAAAAGTGCAAGGAATGACATGTGTATTTTATAAAGAATATTACAGAAGTCTTAAGAAATGTATGTCTCAGAGTAACAAAGTAAAAAGTAATAAAAACACCCTATATCAATATTCAAACAAATTTTCCATTATATACAAATATGTTGCTTGTCTTAATCAATTAAATGACTAATTACATGTCAAAGTATTACTAAACTTGTTCTATTATTGAAATGTGTGCTTTTGACTTTTTAGCTTATAATTGTCTTATAAACATATATCTTATTTGCAATTAAATTGGTGTAATATCCCTTAGATCCTTCCGCCCGTTTTTACATCTTCTATTAAATGTACTGTACATTAATTAATCAAAAAATACATATTGTATCAACTAAAAGCAGTGCAATTTGCTTCCAAATTGTAAATCAAACAGATAAAATACTAAATTTTGCTAAAAGTCATTGTGATACTAAGATCATTTCCCATTAACTACACATTGCCCTTTCAGTTAGAAGAAAAAAATGAGCTATAACAGTTTCTTTCATTATCTTAAGAGAACCAACTAAAGAAACCTTTCTTTTTTTCCTGTTTAGTTGTTTTTAGGAAAATACGGTCAATATCCTTAAAAACATCTTTACTAGATTGAGCTGCATTAACATAGTAATGAATCCCTTGTAAAGCATAATAATCAACCAATGGTCGAGTTTGTGTATGATATGTTGCTAATCGTTTTTTCAATGCTTCTGCATTATCATCAGACCTTCTAATTAATGATTCTCCAGTAACCTATTAACAAAAAATTATGTGATGTTTAATATACTTTTCGATTTGATTTAAAAATTATAATTTACTGTAAATAAATATTACTGCTTACATCATCCTTCATGGGTTCTTTAGGAGGCGCAAATTCTTCATGGTATGATCTACCACTTGCAGGATGTATCAAACGACCTGTGATTCTTTTTATCAACAAGTTATCATCAATTCCAAACTCTATCACAGCATCCAATTTAGTTTGTCTTTTCTGCAGCATTTCGTCAAGCTATTTAAATAAAAAGATTATTCATTTATAATAATTAAAATTAATTTAAAATAAAATGTTTTTCAAAGATGTTCTATCTTTCTTATCTCAATATCAGTTCAAGGTCATCAGTAATCTTCATAAGTTAAATAAAAACAAGAAGATAATCATTAGCTATAGCATCTTAAATCGTTTAAATAATCAGTTTAAAATATGAAACATACTTTTTGAGCTTGTGGAACACTTCTTGGAAAACCGTCCAACAAGAAACCACGTTTACATTCAGGTTTATCCAGATTATGATTGATCATGTTAACTACAAGGTCATCACTGACCAATTTACCCTCATCCATTACTTTTTTAATTTCTGACCCAATAGCAGATCCAGAATTAATTTCCGCTCTAAGCATATCACCTGTAGATAGATGACATACACAATATCGTTCCTTTAGCCATGGCGCCTAAAATGTAATGAACATTAATTGAATAATTTAAATATCAATAATTTAATTTTTATAAAATAAACGAATTTTACCTGGGTACCCTTGCCACTACCAGGTGGCCCCAATAAAACTGCATTAATTCCTTTATTCGGTACTTCGTTTGGAAGCTCTGAAGTTTCTTTCGGTACTGATTCTGCACGAGGAGCCATTTTTTCTTTATCAATGTCTTTTTAACGAAACTTAAGAGAAACAAATTCACGAAAACACTTATGTCAAAGTTCACTATCAAGAGTACATATCACTGTTACGAACAGTGTGATGAACAAGTACCATTAACTTCCTCCCAAGCTTCGAAAAGAATGCAGTGAAATGGTTCGTGGTGTATATACTTACTCTTGCCTCATCTATCGTTCTGTATTTAAATTAGTATCGAATCGAATCGAATCGATTGCGATTGTAAATTTAAATTTAAACTTCCAACATGAAATTGTCTAACTGTCATTTAACGAACACAGAATTTGTTATTAAAATATTTAAAAATAGATTATTTTTGAAAAAAACAAAAAAAATTAAAAACTACAAATTAACATTTTATATGTATTATATATCTTCACGTTTCATTTATTTATCTGCATATAAAAAGTATACACTTATCTATTAGTATCATAAAAAAAAAATAAGGTTATAAGTATGTACATGTAAGTAAAAAGATTGTTTTCAGTATTCATATATATTTTTATCTTATTACATTGTTTTGAAAAACACACGAAAAACATTGAACAAAATACAATATTAATTATACTCATTTTAACATACTCCAAAATTTTAATCACTTATTAAAAACTAATGACTTTTATGACTACTAATTTAAGCGTAATTATTACAACATTATCATTATTATCATTAATATTCTTAACACAGAATCAAAACAGAATTTTATTATATGAACAAAAAATCATTACCTACGTTCCTTCCTTATTAAAAACTTTTAAAAAATTGTTTCTCAATGCTTAATTATATTATATATAGAAGCGCCTTCGACGTCCACATTATTCTTACATGTAAAAATAAATTATACTAAATTTACGTTAAAGGAACAACAAAAGGAACCTTTTATTAAAAAGCCATAGTTGATAATTTAACTACAATTAAGTTTTTAAAGTAATACAGAGTTCATTGCTTTAAACAAAGCTAAATATTTCCAATAACCTTATATCATATCTTTAAACACTCTTTGTTCTGTAAAATCTTTCTGCCTACGAATTTCTAAAAGGAAATACACTAATATTGTTTCATTTGCATTAAAACTTATTATTATATCTGTAATATATTCGTAATGGAATTATCCCACAATGGGCATATAATTATTGTCTATGCATTAATTTAATATTATCTACAAAAGATTGCAAAAACCTGAACATTTGTTTGTTTCCTTATGTTTAGATACATATTCTAACTCAAGAAATTGAATACAAAAAATAATTTTTATTTTAAAAAGTAACATTTTTTCGTATTCGTAACATATCGTATTATATTGTAAAATATTTCGTCATTTAATTCACTCTTATAGAAAAAGAATAATTAATCGGATTTAATTTAAAGTTGTTTCTATAAGTATTTCAGCATATCTGAATTTTATTACCACTCAATATTGCTGTATCTGAATACACATAAAACTTTATACTTTTAAAATCATTTGTACAATATGTAAATCAAATGTTAAACATGAAATAATGTTGTTTATTCGATCGAACCCTACAATTAGTTAATATTAGGACGGCGCAAAGGTGGATAAGAATCATAAATAATAATTAATTGAAAACTAACGTAATTAATGTAATCACTAATGTTCTGAATTATAAGTTAATAGCTTCTTCCCGATTTACTGTTACCAAAGAGAAATATATAATTTTCTTTGATCAGAAATTAAAATCTTCGACTGATAAAACATCAACAACATAACTATTAATCTTATTTTGAAATTATGCATACATCACGTTTATTATAGTATCCAAGTTTAATTGTTATAACATAAATTTATTTCAATAATATTTGTAGTACTAAAATAAATTATTTGTACTCAATATGTGTATCTTATAATCACAATAGAATTTCGTTATATACATATATAAATAACACGTAAATTATACTTAAATAACGTTTTTCGAGTAATATAAATAATATGACGAAACATTTGTCATTTCCAATCATAAAATAAACGTAGTTATTGCACATTTACCTATAAAAAAAATTTTAATCCTTAACAATTTCTTAAATTAGTCTTTCTGTATCCATATAAATTTTCAGTAAAAATTACATTATTATGCACAATTCATTATTGTTAGATACTTAAGAAATTGGTAGATTATTAATTTTACTAAAAGTGGAATTGCTTCTTTTACTGGAACATTATATTCTAAAGTTTATTACGGTGTTATATATTGCACAATGCTTGGTGTTAATTTTTTATACTCTAAAAAACTTGTGTATATGTCACTTAATACTTTGTGATTTTTTGTTTCCTTTCATTAAATACTTTAAATAAGTTATTTATTATATACTAAAATA